GAAAGCCCAGGACCAGGCACTGCACCGGGGGAGGCCCGGCCTGGAGCCAGCGGGGCGAGAGGAAGGGAACCCATGTCCGTATGGACCAGCGCGGAGGGGGCCCGCCAGCGCTCGTCCTCGTTAGTATAGTGGTGAGTATCCCCGCCTGTCACGCGGGAGACCGGGGTTCGATTCCCCGACGGGGAGGCGACTAAAACTTTTAAGTCCTTTGAGACGCTGTGTGTGCCTCTCGGTTTTCCTTGCAAACCTGGCAATTGGGGCGTCACTAAGGAAAATAGCCAGGTGCGCGCAGTGGGCCTAACATCCCCCATTATATACGTAATCTATAATCTATAATGGATATAGCTCGAGAGATTTTGCATTTATATTCTTGGTCACCAGCTAACAACTATGTAACTTTTATCCTGTACCGGGCAGTGCTCGGCGCTGTGCAGGTGAGCGCTCATTTAGTCTCCACAGCAACCTCACAGGTAGGTGCTGTCCTCCCATTAGACAGATGGGGAGACTGAGGCCTGGAGAACGGCTGTGTGGCCTGCCCAGGGCCAGCTCGTCACCACCTGCCCCGGGCATGGGGCCCCTCTGTGGGGAAGGCCCGGGAGAAGGCGGGAGTGCCTCCTTGGCTCCGTTCTCCACCTGTCTGCACTCTTCTCGTTTTCTTTTCCTTTCTCTTTCCTGCCTTTCTTTTCCTCGTTTCCCCTTCCCCGTGTTCCTCCCTCCTTTCTTTCCTTCTTTCCTTCCTTCCTCCCTCCCTTCCTCCCTTCCTTCCTTCCTTCCATTCTTTCTTCCTCCATTGTTATCAGGATGATACTCGTCATGCTTTTCAAAGGCCGGCTGTGCACGGAGAGCAGGGGGAGAGCAGGGGGAGTCCGGGCGGTCCCCCGTCTCCTGAAGGGGTTCGGGGTGTGCCACGCGGTGTGCAGATTCAGGGGTCCTCAAACTACGGCCCGCGGGCCACATGCAAATACAAATACTGTATTTGTTCCCGTTTTGTTTTTTTCCTTCAAAATAAGATATGTGCAGTGTGCATAGGCATTTGTTCATAGTTTTTTTTTTAAACTATAGTCCGGCCCTCCAACGGCCTGAGGGACAGTGAACGGCCCCTGTTTAAACAGTTTGAGGACCCCTGATTCAGAGGCTCAGTTGTCACACGTGATTGACTTGTTGTGACAGGAGACGGAGGGGACCGCACACCCAGACGAGCTCTATCGCAATCAGACCTCCCACGGCAACCAGAAGACCAGGCAGCACCTCTCCCTGCGGCCTGGCAAGCTCTGGCCTCGCCCGCCTCTCTGGCCCCTCACCCTCCTCCCCTCTCCCACCCGGCTCTCTGCGCCTCCGATCATCCCCCTCCTCCCGGCCCCAGGGCCTTTGCACCAGCGGTGCCTCCGTCCAAGGGCCTCTTCCTCAGGTCTTAGCACTGCGGGCTCGCAATGCTTCAGGTCCTCTCAGCTCCCTGTTTCTCTCGCTCCCCCGAATCCCACCCCATCACTGCGGTTTATTTTGGTTTATTTTGCTTCTTAGCACAACTATTATCCCCGAACTATCTCGTTCCTGGATTCGTGGATGAGCCAGAGGGTCACCAGGTGTTTGGCTGGCACTTGCCAAATGACCTCAGATCGTGGATAATCCCCCCGCGGGTGGGTCCTCCCCGGGCAGCCCTTCCCACCCCCCAGTTCCCAAAGCGAAGAGTCAGAGCCGCACCTGCATGCGGCCCTGCTGGTCTCCTCGTGCCCAGGTGCGAGGGCGCCCA